TATAAATCCATGGAGCTTGGCTGCTGTAAAATTCGGAGGGGGTCTCAAGCGAAACCTTTTTTTTTCCATTTTTTTCATTGATTTCACACAGGAAACACAGTTTCGTTTGAGACTCCCTTTGGTTTTTACATCAGCCAAACCCAAATGGATTTACAACGATCTGAGGGACTCTCATGCGAAACCTGGTTTTATCCTAAAAAAAAACTTTAACTGAACTTACAAAAATAAAAACCCTTTGGAACCTCTCGCATTTTCAAGCCGCTAAAGATCCCTACACAAGGAATCAATTTGTAACCCGCCACACAAGGATTCCTTTTGTAATCCGCCACGAAAGGAATCAATGTGTAATCCGCCACAAAAGGATTCCCTTTGTAATTCGCCACAAAAGGATTTCCTTTTCTGTAATACGCCACAAAACGAATCAATTTGTAATCCGCCACAAAAGGATTCCCTTTGTCATTCGCCACAAAATGAATCAAATTGTATTCCGCCACAAAAAGGAAACAACTTGTAATCCGCCACACAAAGATTCCCTTTGTAATTCTCCACAAAAGGGTTTCCTCTGTAATCCGCCACAAAAGGAATCACTTTGTAATCCGCCACAAAAGGATTCCCTTTGTAATTCGCCACAAAAGGATTCCCTTTGCAATCCGCCACAAAAGGCATCAATGTATAATCCGACGCAAAAAAAATCAATGTGTAATCCTCCCCCAAAAAAAATTGCAATCCACCACACAAAGAATCCATTTGTAATCCACCACATAAGGAATCCCTTTGTAATCCACCTCCAAAGGAATCCATGTGTGACCCGCGACAGAAGGAATCCATTTGAAATCGATAATAAGACATATTCCTTGATACGAAACGGAAAAAAAATGGGCATTTTCAAAAAGGGGACATTGCTAACGCTTACCGCTGCTCACGAGAGCGTCTTGAGATTATGAAAAGGGGAAATGCTGCGCATTTGTTTGCAAAGTTTTGGGCGGGCCGGAGTACGCAAATATGAGCTTCCGGATCCGAATCAGATTGGAATCCTTTGACAAAAGGACTATTTTTGAAATCTTCTACACAAGGAATTCCGATTGAAGTCCTTCACAACAAGGGATTGTATCGAAACCCTCTACACGAGGATTTCGATTGAAACCCTCTACAAAAACATGTCCATTGTATTTCACCACGAAAAAAAATTGTCGTGTAAAAAATCATTCGCGCTCTTCTACTGAAGGAATGTGTGCCCGATCCCCCACGACAAGACTACTCCTCTGCCCCCGCCGCTCCCCTTCTATGGCGAAGGGGCTGGTGCTGGTGGATGTGTTAGTGGTTTCGGCCTTTCCTACCACCACCACCACTCACTTCTACGAATGCTTCTACTGATGCTGCAACAGATGCCACCACGCCTCCACCACCGCCGGCTCTACTCCACAACCAAGACTACACTGCCACCGCCACCACCCGTTCTGGGCCAGGATGATGCTGGCGGTGGTGATGCTGGCGGCCTTGGTGGAGGCGCCCTTCAATTCCACCACCACCGACACCTTCACATTCTACGAACGAATACTAATACTTGTACGACGGCCGAACACCACCACTCACTCCTACAACTTTTGTCAGCAATGATGCTACACCACAATTGTCGCTAGAACCATTACACCACCACCAGCGGCATTCCACCGCCACCGCCGGTACCCATGCTGGGTCAGGAATGGAGGCGGCGACGGCTTTGCAAATCCTTCCAACACCACAAACACCAACATCTGTCGCCACTTCTGGGGCGGATGCAACCACCACCAGCACATTTATTTACACGGCCGCACACCCGACCCCACCACCACCAATACCCCTTCTGAGTAGAGGGGGTGTTGGTGGTGGTGGTTGTGGTGGTGGATGCGCCCCCTCCCACTACCACCAGCACCCCCAATCGAGGGAAGTGGATGGCCAGCAGAGAGAGAGAGAGAGAGATACAGGGGGATGATGGTAAAGTTGTGCAGGTGCGATAGCTTCTACGGTTTCTGCGACCACCACAACTACATCAACCACCGCCACCATCCTGCCCACTCGCCACTGCCACTACCCCTTCTTGGTCAAGTATGGCGGCCGCAGCGGTGGATGCGACGCCATCCTACCAACGCCAACACTCAAGTCCACGAGTGCCATTACTGACTGTGTAGCTACCCGCCGTCACCAGCGCCTCCATCACCGCATCCACCTCGCCATCTACTCCGCTGCCACCACCACCACCCGTTCTGGGTAAGGGGGTGGCGGCGGTGGTGAAGGTAATGGTTATGGTGGTGGCGGTGCTCCCAGTGCCACCACCACCACCACCACTAAGTTATACCAGTGCGTGTGCGGCTGGTTCCATCACCGCCGCCACCGCCATCACCTACATCACACCACCGAACTTCGTGCACATGGGGGATGGCAGTGGTGGCTGTGGTGATGGTCGAGGCGCCTCCTCCCCAATCGCCACCATCACGCCACCAACGTTTGCGAATGCGTCCACTGCTGTTGTTTGTGCCGCCACCACCTCCTCCGCCACCACCAGTGCTCCCCCCCTCCCCCCTCCCTGTCCAGCGACCAACACTGCCTGTGGCAGGCGATAGCCCCGGTAGCGCTGGAAGCGATTCCCAATTACCAGTACCGCAGCACCCGCCAATCCCCGTTAGTACTTCCACGGCTGCTTCTACCACCAACTTATACTACTCCACCGACTCCCCCGCGCCCTTTTGAAGTCATTGGGGGGGCGGCACACTTGGTTGCGACGGCTGTGAGTGCGATCCCCGTCCGTATATTGTGGATAAGCTTTCTATTGGTGTGATCACCACTAGCACATCCACCATCACCACCACCGCCAATACTTTTCCATCGACACTGGGTAACGGGTGTGGCGCTGATGGTGGGGCCTCCGCTTTTGCCACCGCAACCGCCACATCCAACACGTCATATGGTGTTCATCAAACCGTAATTGTTGAAGCCATGATCAAAACCACGAAGCAACATCCTAAATCAAGCCCACAAAATAAACCACATCGGTATACACAAGTGCAATTATTGTCCACAGGGGCGGGGGTTGGGGATTTCGTGGGCCGTCTTGAAACAGGTCGCTGAAAAGGCATGGCGAGGCAACAAGGAAAATCAATGAATGGGGTTTGGGAGAGAGAGAGAGAGAGAGAGAGACAGAGAGAGAGAGAGAAAGAAAGAAAGAAAGAAAGAACGAGAGACAGATCATAAGGATGAGGAGGACGACGACGACGCCGAGGAGGGGCGGGGGGGGCGGAAGGACGAGGAAGCGCATGGGGAGAAGGAGGGGGAGAAGGAGGAGGAGGAGGCTGAGGAAGAGGAGAAAAGGAGTACAACTGGTGATGCGGGGAAAACGGAAGAGGAGGGAGAGAAAAGCGGAGGATGGTTGGAGGGCGAGGAGGGGGAACGGGCCGAATAATCGGATGAGGAAGAGGAAGAGGAAAGGATGAGGAGGAAGAGCAGGATGGTGAATCGGATGCGGAGCAGCAGCGGGAAGAGCAGGATGGAGAGATGGATCAGGAAACGGGTGACGAGGAGGGGGCGAGGAGGCCCCCCCGTCCCCGTGAGTAGCATGCGTGCGCGCATGCTTGCAATCATGCATGTATGCGTGGACGTGTATGTAGAGCCGCATTACATACATATCCATCGACGCTAAAAGGTCAGACGTTTTTTGGTCATCTGAAGTGTCACTTTAATGCGGCCTGTGACATGCTTCCTCTCCATTGATCGTCCTCCACAAGACTAGGGCTGACCCGTGGACTACGTCCACGAAGTCCGCACGAACTGGCATGTGGTTGTGGTGCACATGCTGCCGTGGTGGACATGCTGCCGTGGTGCCGACAAGACATGATGACGCGGGGCTCGAACTTCGAATTCCGCGCGTGCTGCTGCGTGCTGCTGCTGCTTGCTTGCTTGCTGCCGCTGCTGCTACCGCTGCTGCTTGCTTTTGCTGCTCGCAGCTGCAGGGTGGAGCGGATGGCCGGTTCTGCTCTGTGTGTGCTGCTGGCCGCTGCCTGCTGCCTGCTGCTGCTGCTGCTGTTGCTGCTGCTGCTGCTGCTGCTGCTGCTGCTGCTGCTGCTGCTGCTGCTGCTGCTACTGCTTGCTGCTGCTGTGCGTCCCCGCTACTGCTGCCCGTTTGGCGCTGTTGCCGCTCGCTGCTGCTGCTGCTTGATGCTGTATACGGCGGTGCTTCGCGCAACCTGCTGCCGAGAGAGGATCCAAGAGCAAGGACTCAAGCTCGAGAACATCGGGGATATCGAGCCCGAAGGAACGGAATCGCGACGAAGCGTGGCCAAGTGTTCGCCAGAAGGCCCAGACGGATGCAGAAGCTGGAGCCCGCAGGAGCGGAATCGCAATGAAAGGGATGCACAGGCTGGTGCCCGAAGGAACGGAATCGCAACGAAGTATGGCCAAGTGTTCGCCAGAAGGCCCAGGCGGATGCAGAGGCTGGCGCCCGAAGGAAGGGATACACAGGCTAGAGCCCGAAGGAACCGAATCGCAACGAAGTGTGGCCAAGTGTTCGCCAGAAGGCCCAGGCGGATGCAGAGGCCGGGGCCCGAGGGAACGAAATCGCACCGAAGTGTGGATGAGTGTTCGCTGGAGGGGCCACACGGATGCAGAGACTGGAGCCCGAAGGAAACGAATCGCAGCAAAGTGTGGCCTGATACTGGGTATTGCTGCCTGCCTGACGCTGCCTGCTGCATGATGCTGTCTGGTGATGGTGATGTCATCGCGTGCTGGGGGGGTTGGGGCTGTTTGGGGGCCCCTTGGGGCTTCTTTCCGATGAGCTCCCGAACGTGTTTGTTGATCTTTCGGTCAAGTAGCTGCTTCAACTTCTCGGCTAAAGCCGTCGCGTTTGATCGGTCGATCCCCTCGGTATTCTTCTTGTCCCACTTGCAGAACCCCATCATGCCCATGAGAGTAACGCAAAAACACTTCCAAGTCGAAGGATATCAACTATGACTTTAGTCGTGGGCTTCCCCTGACTTGCTCCAAATCCTGGCATATAGACTGAATCACCTCGTTTCAGGCCTGCCTGCTCCTGTCCCTCGATCAACTCAGCGTGCGGGGCCTGCCACCGTGGCGGAAGCTTTGATGACCCTCCTCCTCATCCTTCTTCTTCTCCTCCTCCTCCATTCCTATTCTGTATAGGTACCTTCTCCCTGTCTTACCCCGAGGCCAGTCGAAAGGGCGGGCCGGGCGTTTCGCCTGAGACTTCCTCATAAGTTGTGATCCTGAAACTTGAAATTTATAACAAGTTCACGGATGGAGGGCGGTCCGCTTTCAAAAGGTGGCTCTCGCCTTAGCGCCGTGCACACTGGCCTTAAAACATTGCAACAGCTTCACGGATGGAGGGCGGTCCGTTTACAAAATGTGGCTCTCGTCTTCGCGCCAGTCATGTTTGTCTTAAACTGTTGCAACAGCTTCACGGATGGAGGGCGGCCTGTATACAAAATGTGGCTCTCTTTCTTGCGCCGAGCACATTCGTCTGAAATATTTGCAAGAGCTTCACTGATGGAGGACCGTACCTTTTCGAACTAGGGCTCTCGCCTTAGCACCGCGCAAATCCGTCTGCAGACGTTGCAGCAGTTTCAGTGATTCTCATGGTCAACGTCCCGGAATCGGCGTTCTGGCACGATGCTGGGATGTCAGGGCGCAGCAATTACGTTGTTCCGCGGTGTTGAAGTCCCAGGAGTGGCGTTCTGGCACGATTCAGAATCGTCAAGACGCAACTGTAACGGTGATTCGCGGCAACCACGTCCCAGGAATGGCGTTCTGGCACATTTCTGGATTTCCAAGCGGTTGTCTTCTAACGGGGCATTGCCGTCAGTGGATATGAATCCGTGTAGTAGCCTATGAATAGGGGACTTATTATTGTAGTATCGTTGGTGAGTCTTCGGTTTCCACTGGTCCTCCTTCTCCTCCTCACCCTCCTCCAATTCCTCCAACTCCTCCTCCTCCTCCTCCTCATCCTCCTCCTCGTACTCTTCCTCCTCCTCCTCCTATTATTCCTCTTCCTCCTCTTCCTCCTCCTCCTCCGCATCCTCTTCCTCCTCCTCTTCCTTGTTCCTCTGTTTCTGAGAAGCCTTCCCCCCTACCCTTGCCCCCTCTGCGCCTGGGTGACCTCTTCCCCCTCCTCCTCCTCCTCCTCCATCTGTTCCTTCTCCTCCTCCTCTTCCTCATCCTGCTCCTCCTTCTCTTCTTCCTCCTCGTCCTCCTCCTGTGTGCGCTGGCCAAACCTTATGCGTCAGCACGTGGCGTTATTAGCATTCGTTGCTCCTCATCCTCAGGTTCGTTCTTATGACCAGCAACAGTAATACAAGTAGTAGTACTGAAATCAATGTCATTCGCAATACTACTATTATATCACTAGTAGTAACATGATTCGCAATAGTAGAAGTAGTAGTAGTAGTAGTAGTAGTAGTAGTAGTAGTAGTAGTAGTAGTAGTAGTAGTAGTACTAGTACTAGTACTATAGTACTAGTACTAGTACTAGTACTAGTAACTGTACTAGTACTAGTACTAGGTGTAGTAGTAGTAGTGGTAGTAGTAGTGTAGTAGTAGTAGTAGTAGTGTAGTAGTAGTAGTAGTAGGTAGTAGTAGTAGTAGTAGTAGTAGTAGTAGTAGTACTGTATTACTAGTAGTATAGTAGTAGTAGTAGCAGTGGTAGTAGTAGTAGTAGTAGTAGTAGTAGTAGTAGTAGTAGTAGTAGTAGTAGTGGTAGTAGTCGTAGTAGTACTAGTAATAGTAGTAGTAGTAGTAGTAGTAGTAGTAGTAGTAGTAGCAGCAGTAGTAGTAACCGTCGTAGTGGTACTAGTAGTAGTAGCAGTAGTAGTAGTAGTAGTAGCAGCAGTAGTAGTAGTGTTATTGCTACTACTAGTAGTTGTAGTATTCGTATCGTCAGTAATGTCAGTATCATGTGTATTATCACTGAAGTTAATAATACGATTAATTCGACGACTAGCGTTATGGGAAGTATTCGTATTACTACTAGTATTTCGGCATCATAGTCTTAGTAGTATTCCTCTTCTTACGATTAATAATCGTATTAGTACGAGTTTCAGTGCCAATATCACGACTATTGCTATTTCACGCTATTCTTCTTTTTACGACTACGATTTTTATTGTTCTGAATGTTGGTACTGTTGCTCTTAATTAAAGCATTCGTATTGCTGTTGCGTCTTAGTCGTATGTTCCTGCTTCGTTTTCCTCCTCCTCCTCCTCATTCTGCTCGTGGTCGTCGCCCCCCCCTGCTGCCACACTGCTCCTCCTGCTGCCGGCGACGAGCTCGCCGCGAGGCGCCCCTCCCCGCACCGAGGGCCCAATCTTGCCGCGCGGGGCGCCGCCACCGCCCCGGCTCGACCTGAGAGGGGAGGCGTGGCGCAGGACAGCGTCGTCTTCCTCCCCTGATTCTCCTCCCTTCCTTCGTCGTCGTCCTCCCCTTCTTGGTGCCCCTCCTCGTCCTCGTCCTCGTCCTTCTGCCCCCAGTCCTCCTCCTCCTCCTCCTCCTCCTCCTCCTCCTCCTCCTTCCACCTCCTCCTCCTCCTGTTTCCAGCTTCCAGTTTGCGCAGCAGGATCCGCAATCCAAAGGGAGCAGAACCTACGGCAAAAAAGGGGGGAGAGGAACAGGAAAGAAAGGCCAAATCACACTGCTCGCCGACCTGTCAGCAGCGTGTTTCGACCGAAGAAAAATCGTTTGTCATTCGGATCGCTGTCTTTCTTGAGAAGGGACAGAGACCGCGCAGCAGCATCTTTACAAGGCACCTGCCTGCAAAGGCCAATAACAAGTGCATGCGTTGCCTTCCAAACGCGCCGCATGTCGAGCACTAGACGATCGGGCGCGGGGAGCTAGGGTCACCTGCCCACAGCCTGTGGGTCGGGTGCGCAAGGCGTGTTACTCTGGGTCACCCCTGACATTTGTAACTTGCCAGGGAAGAGTAATAGCGACCAGTGTCCATACAACGTCCGCATAAATAGCCTTTTTACACCATCGGAGAATGACGTGGCCGTTCGGCTCTGGGACGAAGACCCAGCCAGGTAGCTTACTCTTGCGGGTAACCACTGTGGCAGTATCTCGAACAGTCGGTTTGAACACACGCTCTGACAAAATGCGCGTGAATTTAGCCAGCGAGTGAATCTTATCGCGTTGCTTTCTGGTACTGCTGGAGCAAATACTCTAGGTGGGGATCTCAGCAGCAGCAACCTCCGCCGTGCTATCCGCCACTCGGTGACCCTTCCAGACCCACAGAGGGACCGCCATTTGGGCAGCCGCAGGCCAGCTCTCATGAGCTGGAACCGGAAAAACCTGAAAACTCCAGAACTCGCCATAGGGAATATAGAGACGGTGTCTATATGGGTCCCCTGGGTCCAGACTCTGAAGAGACTCTCGCGGTCAGAAGCGAACAACGCAGTCGTCTGGACCCGCGAGCCGAAGACACATCAACATAGCAAAAACTCCAGCACCGTATATATATATATATATATATATATATATATATGAGCATATTGTGCAGCCCGTGCTCCAGCGGTCCGCAGGCGGATGCTAAGACGCCTCTGACGTCATCAGCAACGAGCCCCACGCGGCCCTCGTAACCAGAGGCAGCTCAGGGTCTAAGGCAGACCCATCGGTGCACATATTTTTCGACATCCAGCCGCGGCGAGGACGGGCAACCCAACGCCAGGAGCCGACACCGCGCGAGCGAGGAGCATGAGAGATCACACTCTGCTGCAAGCACCTGGACACAACAGGGTCGTCAGGGTCGCCCTCCTGCCACTCTCGCAGTGACTCGTCGAAGCCAAACGAACGCCGAAAAACGCCGTGCGCGACGCAACATAAAATGCGATGATGCCGAGGAGGAGGAGGAGGAGGAGGAGGAGGAGGAGGAGGAGGAGGAGAAGGAGGAGGAGGAGTAAGAGGATGAGGACGAGGAGGAGGAAGAGGAGGAGGAGGAGAAACCTGGCACCGAGGATCAGCAGACTGGCGGTCCTGGAAGAGCTCGGCCTGCGGACACGAGGCCCCCCGAGACGCGGGTGGCCAGCACGCTGGCCCGCAGAGCTCTGCCGGCAGATCTCAGCTCGCTGCAAGCCACGGCCACAACATCCAAATCGGGGCGCCTCCTCCTCCTCCTTCCTTCCTTCCTTCCGACCGCTTGACGCGCACCCACAGTCGGGCGGCGCGCCCGGCCGGGCCGCCCGGCACGGGCTCTTACTTTTCCCGCAGGTGGGCCTCCTAGCGCCCAGCCCGCGGCTGCTGCCCCTCCCCGCGGCCAGGGGGTCTGTTGGGTGGCGCCCGACGCTGACGCGGGGGGCCCCTGTGCAGCCCTCTGGGGAGGGGGTCCCCCGGCGGCCCCCCCGACGCTAGGCCGGACGAGTGCCGCTCGGTGGGTAGCCTCCGGCAGCCCCGCTTGGGGCGGGTGGCTGCTCGGTAGGCACTCTCGCCAGAGCGGGGTGGCAATGCACGGGGCGACATCGCACGGCGAGTGGCAGCACTCCAGACGTGCCCAGGCCAGCCACCGGACACCCCGATGGCGCCCGAGGGCGGCCCGCCGCATGGCAAGCTTGGCCAGCGCCAAGCTTCACATGGGCTGGCCGCCCCGGGGTGCTCACCGGCGAGCCCCGGGACTCCCCGAACCGTCCGAGCGCTCCCGCCACCCCCCCCCCCCCGAAGGACGCCCGCCCCGGCCCCGGCACGGGGCCGCCCCCCAGCCCCCAGCCCCCGGGCCCGCGCCGGAGGCTGGGCCAACCGGGGCCAACAAGTTCCGGTGCGTCCATGGGTGCCCCCCGGACGGGGTCGTCAGTGCGGGCGTCCCCCGGGATCAGGGGCCTCCTGTCCATGCCTCACTCTGGCGCGGGTCAGGGCCGGGCACCAGGGCACGGAAAAAGGTATGAACAAATATTCATACCTTTTTCAGCCTGCGGCGGCTTCCATATGGGGGGGGGGAGAGAGGCGGGCCGGCGGGGGGCGAGGGCCAGGGAGGGAGGAGGGGGGGGCGGGGAGGAGGCGAGGGGACCAGGACGACGAGGGGGCGAGGGCGGGGGGGCGAGGGGGCCGGAGACGAGTCGGAAGGGGGCCAGTTTATCGCCACTTCTTATACCTCACTACTCCGCTCTGGTTCTATCATGGGGCCCGCGCGGCAGCCTCCGCAGCTGCCTCCTCCGCAGCTGCCTCCAGCCGGCGCGCCTCGGCGGCCGTGGGGGGGCTGCTCGCCCAGCCCGCTGCCGCCGGCCCCGCGCGCCCCAGCGCTGCCACCGCCGGGGGGCGCTGCTCCAGGTGGGCCCAGGTCTCGAGCGAGGCGCCGCAGAACCGGCACGCGGCCACCGTCCCGGTTGCATCGCGCAGGAGGGCGCCCTGCAAGGCGAGGCGAGCCCACGCTCGAACCTCTGGTAGCGTGGCTCCCTGCGCGCTGAGGTCTGCCGCCGTGGCCCCGGTGCCCGCTGGCCGCTGGAGGGCTTCCCGCTGCGCGGGCTCGGCCAGCCATGCCCTGTCCTGGCCACGAGCGGCAGCCCGCGCCAGGCGCCTGAGGTGGCGAGCTGCGATCACCCCACCCTGGGCGCGGCCGCCCCCCCCCCCGGGTTCGCCGTCCTGGTCTGGCTGCGGACAGTGGGGGGAGGTGCGACGAAGGTGCCAGGGCCGGCCCCTGCCCCAACGCGCGCCAGCGACCCGGCCAAGACCGAGCCGACTGGCGGCATGAGGTGGGTACGCGGCGCGGCCCTCCCGCCCGTCCCACCGCCCGGGTCGCACCTGCTCCTCGGTCGGGGCGCCCCCCCCGAGTCCTGGCGGGCCTCGGCCGGAGGAGGAGGAGGAGGAGGAGGAGGAGGAGGAGGAGGAGGAGGAGGAGGAGGAGGAGGAAGGGGGGGGCGAGGGAGACGGGGGGAGGGAGAGGGGCAGGGGGGGAGGGCCCCGAGAGGGGGGAAAGGGGGCCGCCCCGCCCGGCCACGCGCCGCGGAGAGGCGCGGGTCTCAAGGGCCCTCCAGGGAAGGTCCCAGGCACCACACGCCCCCGGCCACGCCGTCCCACGGACGGGGGTCTCAGGGGGGCGCGCTGCCACCCCGCCCGGCCACGCGCCGAGGAATGGCGCGGGTCTCAGGGGCCCTCCGGGGGAGAGACCTCCCCGAGCCCCCAGCCTCGCCGTCCCACGGACGGGGGTCTCAGGGGGGCGCCTGTCCAGGGTAAGCTGAGGAAGGAGGGCCCGGCCGAGAGGCGGGAGGAGGGGGGAGGGGCACGGGGCGGGAAGGCAAGAGGAGAGGGCGGAAAGGCAGGGGAAGGAGGAAGGGGGAGAGGGGACGAGCAGAGCACGGGGCGGGGGAGGGGGAGGCGAGGGGGAGGCGTGCCTCCTGGGCGCTCGCCGGATGTTCGGCTCCCGGCCGGTCCGGGCCTCGGCACCACCGGTCAGTCCTCAGCTGGACTGCAGGACCGTGCCGTGGAGCTGAGGGGGGGAGGGTCCGCGGGGTCGCCGCCCTCCCAGTCCCCCACGATAGCACGTGCGACACCGGCGACGACGACGACGACGGCGACAGCGGCGGCGACCGCGACGACGACGGCGACCGCGACGACCAGCGGCGGCGGCGACGACGGCGGCAGCGGTGGCGACAAAGGGCCCCGCGTCGCCACCCGCGAGGGTCCGGGGCCAATCCCTGTGCTCCAGGCCGCCTCGGGAATGCCCTGGCTGCAAGCACGCCGCGGCCCGCCGGACAGAAAAAGGTATGAAAAAAAATCATACCTTTTTCTGCCCGCGGCGTCCCCGGATGCTCGGCTCCCGGGGGATGCGTGGCCCCCGGGCGCTCGCCGGATGCTCGATCTGCACCCTCTCTGCGATGTCCTGCGCCCTGGTATACCCCTTCCAGATCGAGCCCTTTGCCTGCTTCCTGGCCCTCCATGCTCTGTCGGCCTGGAGGGTCGCCTGGTAGAGGCCCAGGGAGTCCTTGGCGAGGGTACTTATGCCCTTCCTCTTCTGCACCGCCTTCATAGCTGTCTTCGTAGCTGCCGTCGCTAGCCACGCCTTTGCTGAGGCCCTCCGAGGCAGGGTCATCTGCGGCAGGCGGCGGCACCCGGCGCCCAGGGCGGCGGTCCTCGGCGCCCGGCCCTGGCCCGGGGCGGCGCCCGGGGAGGCGCCCTGGCCCGACCGAGGGGGGCCCGGCGAGGGCAGGCGGCGGGGGCAAGCTGCGGCGCCTGGCGTCTGGCGCCCGGCGCCCTGCGGCCGGGACTGTCCGCTGCCCGGCGCCCTGGCCCGGGCCGGGGCAGGCTGCGGCGTCCGGCGCCGGGGGCGGCAGCGCCCGGCGCCCGCCCTCGGGGCGGCGTCGGCGCCCGGCGCCCGGCGCAGCGCGCAGGGGCGGCCGCTCTATTGCTGGAGGGGGGGAGGAGGG